CTCAATAGCCTTATCATCCTCTGGTGTATATTCCACATTTTGTACATCCGAGAGGGGGCCTTCTACTATGGCGGCGTTAGAACCGGCTGGGAATGCAGGATGGCCGGACGCGATCTCGCCGTTGAATATTTCCATCCGATGCAATATCTCCCGCTGTTTCTTGTACATCCATATATGTTTCTTCACATCTAGCCCCTTAGGGTCGGCAAAGAAGCCAACATCCAAATCAGGCTCATCATTAATGTTCGGCCCCGTGATATGGACAAAGCCCCGAGAAAAGGGGTGTAAACTGAAAGTGGCGATGCCCATGTACTGCCCAGCAGGTAATCCCGAGGGATCCCCTGGGTAACAGCCAACGGGAGAGATGATCATCATTGGCTTGTCTGGGTACCCTTCAAACTCTCTATCCCAGGCTTGTTCGAAGTCAGGCCCAAGACTCGCTACGTCGGCTCGAGTGGGTCGGAGCTTGGCCTGGACATCCACGGCGTTCCAGCTCAACATTGGATTGTTTTCCGCGATAAGCTTCTCCGACTGAACACGGCCTGAAGTCAAAGCGTCCATTGTTTCTTCGGGTGTGAGAGTGGTCTTGTACGGGTAGAGAATTATGTGGTGATCTCGGTAGTTCTCACCCACGCCGGGAACTTCGGCCACGAGGGGGACGCCCGCGCGCTTCAACACATTGGCCCTCCCAACTCCTGATCTTTCCAGCATCGTAGGTGTCCCAAGCGCGCCGCTAGATACCACCACCAACTTCCGTGCCTTGACGGTCCTGGTTGGTTCATGTTGAGTGCCTGGCTGGAAGGTCGGATTAGGTCTGTAAGCGACACCCACGGCCCTTTTGTTACTGTCAAATAGAACACGTTCAACGTTCGTCTCAACTAGAACGTGTAGATTCGGGTACTTGTCGCTTTGTAACTTGGAATGCAGGTATTGGTGAGCTACATCCTGGCGCAAGCCGTCCCGGCTGATGTAACGCACCGCCCGCATAGCACCATTGACCGTGTCCAAGCGATTGATATCCTCAATCTCTGGCCAACCAACCTTACCCAAAGCAGTGATAAAGTCGTTCTCTAACCTTGAAGACCGAAACAGGCCACGGCATACATGCATCGGTCCATCATATCCATGGTAAGCTGGCGAACCGGGGCCATCGTACGTTTCAATCTGGTCAGTTGTGAGAACTCAATCTTCATGGCAAGTGCGAATGGTTATGTTTACCTTCTTCATGTACGGGAGGAGCTCGTCAGCAGACCACCCAGGCATTTTCCACGCATCAAGCTCCGATCGCTGTGGTCGACTGTATATCATCTCGTTGACGGATGACCCACCGCCTAGGATGCGGGTCGTAGGAACGAGCGGTTCCCTACCGGAGAGATGGATGGACTTTCGTGATTTGTACGACTTCACGTATTTGCCAAATGGGTCCATATGATTAAGAAAGAAGGCCGGGTACGTGACATGCGGATCGCCTTCATTGTTTGGGCCACTTTCAATGAGCAAGATAGAGAGGTCAGGGGCGGCTTCAGAAAGTCGTCCGGCCACAACACAGCCAGCGCTGCCACCTGCAATCGACCATGTTAGTATCACGAGAGGGTACATGAGATAAGGGGTGCGCAATACCTCCTGCAATCACGATATCAACCTCCTCGATGGTCTCGGGAAGCTTATTGTAAAGGCCCATGGCGACAGATCTTCGTAACCAGGAGTAAAGCAAAGTATTGAAGGTGAAAGTATATGTCGGGATGCCGTGAGTATGTATCAGAAGGAGGTTGTCCTAGAGTGATAGAGTCACAGTCAAGAAAGAGGGGAAGCAAAATGACAGCAACTTGACCGCTATAAATTCTGTTAGCACACATCACAGCTAAATGCTGTGCCGCTGGCGATATCGTGCAGATCATACTAGCGTCTGACAGATGCTATATTTAGTCATGGTCGGCAGTTAATGAGATGAGATATCAGTTCATGAACAAGTTGCAGTCAAGCAGAACGACGCAAATGGCCACAATGCAATGTTCAACCTGGCGCATTACGTGTATGAAGTTTATTGTAGATGCTGTGGCGTACCGAAAATCACCTAGCAACAATACAGCTCCGAGTTCGCTGACCCCTATTTTTATACAGGGGTTCAGGGGATAGTGAAAGCTTAAGATCCACCGGACACTGTTAGTAAATAATTTTGGATGCGACGACGTTCATAAAAGGTCGTTTACTGCCACCTCATCAGATATAGGAATAGGATGTGTCTTCCGACCAGATCAGTATCATAATTTAATCATATTCGTGAGACGTCGATGTGTTACGGCTTTCGATACCATGGCCAGAAGCACCCATTTATATATTTATATACGGGAATATCGTTGTATGTGTCAGGGGATTTGTGCCACCAGAGTGATAGGGGACAACTGCTAGGTAGGGGGAGGAAGGAAACAGAATAATTCGTGCCCTATGGAAGCTATAGGGGAAGGAAGTGGCCCTTATATAGCCGTATGAGCCCTCCACTAGTGTAATAAGTGGGATCCTATGGATCCCTAGACCCCCTCACACTTAAGCCCCTGACAGTATGAGAGCCAACGCGTTGAGTAGATACCCACCAAAGACGAGAAGGAGACCTCGTGTATTCATATCTCGAAGATCAATCATCAACCCAAACTCATCATCCTCACTCATCATCCTCACTCATCATCCTCATCTCAAAACTCACATGTCACTTTAAAAGTCCCCTTGATGGCCGCTAGGGTTTCTTCAAGTCGGAAGCAGATGAAGGCTCTCGAAAGACCTTCATTGTTGGATATTGGAAGGAATGACTTGCTGGAAAGAGCGGACATGTTACAGGATAAAGCTTATCTCCAAAGCCCCTTGGTGCTCCTTCGTACATTTGAACTGACCCATCATCCGATAATAGCATTTATCGCACTGGCGTATATCCTGGCAGTTCTTCTGCTCACAGCGGAAGATTTTCATGCCTCTTTCAAGCAGATCTCGGTCGGGCGTTTTGTATGCAGAGCTGGCAGATTTGTTTCGTTCTTCGCTCCAGCTGTTCGATCGGCGGTGGTGTTGATGAGGGTGCGATCTCTTCATCGTTGATTCTGGGAATGGGTACAGTCTCCCAACCCATTCCTTGTCCATGGTGGACAACCCCTTGCCTGGTTTCGTTTCGACGCGGTTCTTCATCCAATCGTGTGGAATGGGGTATAGCATGATCGATTCCGGGTCAAAGTCCGAGTACTCGGTATCCTTGGGATCCTCCCGGCGTAGGACATTGTGATTTACAAAAGCCGGATCACCATAGGCGGCGATTACCGCAGGGACGTTCCACTCGATAGGACAGAGAGGAGAAGCATGCTCATGCGTGATGCCAAGAACATGGCCAAACTCATGGAGGGCCACGCTAGAAATTTCCCTTGCGCTGGAATTGTTGCCTATGGAGAGCTCTAGGGTATGCTTCTCTTTTGGCATGTTTTGTGCTTCTCTACCAAGATGCGACCATCCTCCCACCTTCCAGGGGTCTGGGTGTGTAACACACTTGATGCGAACCACTGCGGACTCTGAGTTTGGGACGAACCGGAATGAGATATTGGCGTGAGTCTGCCATAGCTGAGAAGCACGCCGAACTATTGCGTTGATCTTGTGTGGTGATAAGTCCTGGTGGCGGCATGTGTTGCGGATAGCAACGGTGATTTCATCACCAGGTTCCCAGCGTGAGGACCTAGATAAACAAAACGCCAAAGCTCGAGGCTGACCCGGGAAACTCATACCAACATCCATGTTGACGTGGGGTTTCGTGGCATGGAGGTGGTGGTTGTTAGGATTGACGATATCAGGACTATCCTGGCTCACTTGGGCCATCGTATTCGTAGGGGGCGTGGGTGAAAGTGGGATTGGGAAGCAGTGTTGCCGGTTGATTCATCAAGAGGTCTATGGGAAGGCCTGAGAGAACTTGTTTCAAGACCATGGTGGATAGATTCACATTTACATAATTTGATAAATATCAACAAGAAACTTGGACAGTCAAGTTGGACTTCCAGCAGCAGCCGAAGAACTTCACAGCCCCGTTGTAAGACACAAGGCTTGGCGATTGAGGGTGAAGCGTTACATTCGAACAGCCTCTCTTCCCTGCCAGCTTCTTATAAGACTTACAGGATGCAGCAGTTAGCCTCATCTGTGGGGAATCAGCCGCAGGTGTTATTAGTTAACTACCGAGTTCAGGTCTATTCAGTATGCACCTTCACGGCTCGGGCTCGCAACCTGCATGGCATCAAGGCAGGAGAGGGGTGTCCCGTAACTAGGTACCTACCTATCACTCAGCCCCCCTCTGTAGAAACTCTAGACATATCACTGTGTTGCATTGCATGTGGGGTTTTTACTCGTTTAGATCTGAGTCGGCCTTACCGCTTGCCCATTCGCCAGCGACATGCAGTCAGAGGGGGCGATAGGGGGCTAGACGGACTACCTACATAGGTACCTACTTAGTAGGTAATCCATCAATCCGCCTATTCGGGGTCGAATGTCAGGAATGTCAGGAGGGGATGTCGTACAATTAGATCTCCAATTAGGAGCGGAAAACAATAGCCAATCGGGGGCGATTGGGGCTGCAGCTGCAATCACCGCCCTACATAGGTACCTTAGCACCCTAGGTACCTAGCAGCTGCCTAGGTAGCTACCCCACAACGCGTCATTATCACTTCTTGATCAACTTCATTTGCGGTTGGTACTTGAAAAACAAGTCGATCAGGGTCTGCCATTTGCCGGCGACATAAAGCCATTTTTCCGGATCAAATCCACGATAGGTAAGTATCAGCCCAAATGGTTGAAACCTATTTGAACTGATTGATCACTTGTCAAAAACATAGGCTAATTAACGACCAGCAGCTAACACTGCAGGCCTGGGGTTATCGTGATCTTTTGAAATACCCCACCCAAACCACAAATCACGATGGAAACGGGACGTAGCTAATATAGCCTGTCTCTTGAACAAATTCTCTCACCAAATCAGCTTGAAAGGGCGCTTGGTCTAGGGGTATGATTTTCGCTTCGCACCATCAATCAAGAATGTGCGCCTTTGTGAAAGGTCGTGGGTTCAATTCCCACAGCGTCCAAAGCTGTAGTTGGGAACACTTGGAGGTTGTGTTATTTTTTGCATTTCAAGCGTGAGATTCTTTCTTTTTTTTTTTTTTTTTTTTTTTTTGTCTTTCCTTGTTCCCCCGCCTCCCTCCTTCACCCTCCCCCTTTTACCCCAACACACCCCTTTTTCTTGTGTTGCGGTGGCTTCTGCCCACCGTCGCTATATGACTAAGTAGCCACACCTTAAAACCTACGCGAGATCCAAGTACTTGACTCGGAATCCTTTCGTGGACGGGGTCCCGACACAACCTGGAGGCAAAAACTAGACATCAAGGGGTAGGTCCGGCCATGAAGCGACCGTCCGGCGATTGCATATATGAAAATGATGGGCCGAGACCACGCCCGGGAGGTTCTTGACATCTTCGCGGATCACATGCACGTTAAGGCCCTGAGGTACTCCCACCGATAAAATACATATGATTTGCTACGGCACTGGCTGGTAACTACTGATTGACGGAATGAGTTCCCGTAACAACAGTACAGCACATATATACCACTATAGGTTACCAAGTGTTGGACTTGATAACTTGTATCTCTTTTGGTGCAGGGCACGGTGGTGCAATGGTTACTGGTTTAGACCCTCCCATGACACGACTGATCGGAATACAGCAACGTAGTTCCAGAGAGCTAGGACTGAAGCTACCTTAGTAGCGCAAGAGCCGGATCGAGATATTCCAGACAGGAAGGTGGGTGTTGCGAGATTGCAAAAGAGGCTGTGAGCTGCCTACTGTCCAGGAGAGCTCGCCCAAACTCCACACAATGCACGGTAGACTGGAGATACCATTGAACTGCTTCTGTGCACGAACTCTTCGTAGCTCGATGTCGCAATCTGTACTTATGGACATTACTTGATTCCGTGGAAGGAGAGGTGTTTTATCATATGTATTATCATCACTGCCCTCGGCATGGGTTTCGGAAGCGTGCATGATCTCCTGTCTCTATCAGGCCGGATGTATGGATGCAGACCGGGATTGCATAGGCGTAGTTGCGTAGTTGCGGCCAACTGCTACTACAAGATGCTAGGAATGCATCGTACTTGCGTTTGCAATCTGATGAGAATCTGCAGTGGTCAGGCAGTCTGGAGTCCCCTGTTCGCAGGCAGCCCACATATGGGCGATATCTGGCCCTCTTCAAGATCTTCTTGGATCGATGGTGATCGAATTAGCCATATATACGCATTACCCCTGAGAACACATTATGAGAAGTTGATGACGCCGAGAACCATGAAAACAAATAGCGTTGCCGTATCCTCGCGGAAGACACATTCCATCACGGCAACAATAGTTCGTGAGGTGGTGACGCTGATGAAGATCGCCGACGCGAACAACGTGGTAACAATAGTTGCCATTCCGGACTGCGACTCATTAGATAGTATGGTATTTTGACTCGGCTACCATAGTGATCTCACTCACACCATAGGTATACGTATCTGATGTCTTTCGATAGGATACGCTGCAGCCCCATGTCTGCCACAATCGGGTAAATACGCGTACAAACTGATGACCAGAGTTAACGACGATGCCCAAAAGTTACTAGAAATTTAGCCGACATCATAGGCGATTACTTACTATTTGAAGCACATCCCCTACGAGCATGGAGGAATTGTGTCGAACTCCAGTCATCAGACACGCGACGAACAAACCCATATCAACCATATCTAGTATGCCACCAGCCCCAGCATACAATGACTTATTCGACATGTTCTCTGGTAAATGTACAGATGCATTTGAAGTGATGAAGGCCTGAGCACATTTATTTTTGTTTTCGCTGCTGTTCGAATATATACCCGCCTGAAAAGTGTAACCTGCGAGCTTTCTTACTCTTGCCATGCGAAAAGGGGTACGCCTCCTTCGTAAACGCACATTGTGACAGTGAGACTTACCCTTTCGGACAGACCTCGGAGTCTTCTGTCTCACTGTTATGTATAACAAAGGGACGTTCTGCCTCGGCTCTGACAGGCATCTCATCACACGGCTACACACACACACCCCTTCAATGTGTACTAGCCAGGTCCTGGTCGTATTGGTTGAGAGTGTTTGCGTCCGTTATACTACCTCCTCGGGAGCAGTGATCCTGCTCACTTCCCTCTCGGTGATGCCTGTTGAACCCTGTTCATACGCCGAGCGAAGAAGCTCGATAGCTACTCTTACGATCCGGCCGGCTGCCCCGCTTCCCGAAGTCGATCACGTATCTGGAGCTAAGGCGCCAGAGCAGTTCGTCCCGCGAGCCTAGTCAGGCTGTTCTGAGGGTTCTGCTAAGTAGCAGAAGAGAAGCAACAATCTAGCTATCCTCATTCGTTCATTGAACTACAATGCTAATTCGGTGATGACTTTTGAGCGGTAACTAGGTAACATGCGCGCGATTGTCAGAATCGAAGCCTTCCTGATAAAGAATTGCACCCTCGTGCCAGGTCGAATAATGAAACAGGGTCTTGTTCAGTTTCAAAGTCTTGGCGATCCGATAGCAAAAAGACCTTGGTAGGTATAACCCCACATTGACTTTGTATAGAGTCGCGTTGAGTATGGAGCAGGGCCGCGTGTTATCGGAGCGTATGTACCTGTCGCATGGCAGCGATACGTGCGGTAGATAGCGGTCTTATACGAGGGGTGAACGGCGGGAAATGGAGACTAGCATTGTGTCAAAACCGTAGTTATGAGCAGATAGCGGAATGTGAGTGTGCCTTTCCTATAAGACGATACCGAGAAGCTGGAGCAGCTGAGGCTAGAGAAGCCTCACGCCGACGCCAATGCGATCGAACCCTTTTGTATTATACGGTCATGCAACGTTACTGGGATCATTTCGGGTTGTGCATCGATTCAGATCCAGAATGATCCAGATCTATGAAACATTTCACCAACAGGGTGGAAGGGGTTCGCTGACGGAAATTAGCCACAGGTTGACGCCATCTAGAAGTGGTTGGAAAGAAATGCATCAGAGTGTCAAGCTTTCGGGCTTTGGAGAGCTAATAGATGTTGGATAACAACTACTTCATCAGTCTACCGCGATTCGTTCTATGTCTGGAAGTAGGCCCGAGCCGTACCCCTTGCCCAGATGAGATGCAAATCACGCAATAGGACTAAACAGTTCGAGACCTGATATAGCTCCTTATATACAAGCTAGCCATTGGCTGCATAGTTTAGGTAGGTGGGCTGCGATACAATATGCAATCGACAATACTATGGCGCAAGAGAGTCTAGATACCAAACTCGTTATCATCCTGGACCTTCCCACACCAGCAAGCCTGCTTGTCCGACGTTACGCTCGCGGCCACCCCCGCCCCCTGTGGCAGCATTGAATTACGATAAAGTTACAGAAGACCATGTTATCTCTATATATTGAGGGCGGGGACCATGAAGCACTGCTTCTTGTCCCCTCTTCGTCCTCTCTTGACGTGTGTTACTTGATCATTTCATTATCAGCGAAGAGCCATGGGTAAGTTCTGTTACTATGCGCACACGTAACCTGCGGCATGAACATCTAACCAATCTATGCGCCATGTAGCCACGAATACTGTCGGCGCTGAAAACGTCGTCGGTCTCACCGTCAAAGACGTCGTCGAGCCGGAAAAGACCGATCCTGCTGCTCTGGACGTCGAGAAGGAGGCCGGACATGAGGTAGTCGTCACCGATCACGAGGTGTACCCACCTCCCACCGAAGAGGAGCGGTCGACGCTCCGCAAAGTCAACGACTCCATCCCGATCGCGGCTTGGTCCCTTTGCTTCGTAGAACTGGCTGAGCGAGCATCCTAGTAAGTTATTTTTCTTCGCGCCATTCAGTTCAGCTGGTGTTCAGGCTTTTGACCTGAGATAACATGAGAGCGCGTGGTCATGAGAAATGAATGAGCCCCTGTGAAATGCGCAGAATGTCATTGAATAGCCGGGGGGTCTACCCAACCTGTTATTTGACGGCTCCTGAACAACGTCCATACCTTGCGTTAAATACCCGCCAAGAATCATTTACTAAGTATAAATCTTGCAGCTATGGTGTTAAAGCCGTATTCAACAACTATCTTCAGTTCTCGCTCCCGAAAGACGGCCCCGGGACCGGTGCTATCAACCCGAACCGTCCTAATGACCATGCCGGCGCGCTCGGCATGGGCCTCCAAGCAGCCTCCGCCTTGACTCTGCTGTTCACTTTCCTGGCGTACCTTCTCCCTATCTTCGGCGCTTGGATCGCAGACACCAAGATTGGCCGTTATCAAGCTATTGTAGTAGGCGTGCTCATCGGCGGTCTCGCCCACGTTATAATGAGGTATGCAACTAGGTCTCCGATCAAGCCCTTGACCCCGTGTGTTATCCACGTAGTTGCTTGGGTCTGCTTATTGCGTCAATATCAACTAACCTTTTCACAGTACGTGGAATGTCTTGTTCAATCCAACACTCTTGGCAAGAGTCAGAGCTGTCAAAGTGCTGGCAAGACTTTAGAACATATACTAACACAAACTAGTCGCTGGTGCTGTACCGGCTCTTTTACAAGCCGGGAAGGGCGTCGCGCCATTCCTCGTCAGCTTCTTCCTGCTCGCCATCGGCGCCGGCATCTTCAAGCCCAACGTGGCGCCGACGGTTCTCGACCAGTACAAGTACCAGCGGGAGTACACGAAGGTGCTCAAGTCGGGGGAGAAAGTCCTGGTCGACCCGGAAACGACCGTGAGCCACATCATGCTGATCTTCTACGCGTTCGTCAACGTTGGCGCCTTCTTCTCCATCGCCGTCGTCTACATCGAGAAGTACCACAGCTTCTGGCTGGCCTACCTGGTCCCCGGCATCGTGTACTTCCTGTTGCCTATCCTGCTGGCGGTCATGTACAAGCGCACCGTCCGGAAGCGGCCGCAGGGCTCCGACCTGGCCCGCTTCGTCAAGGTCACCACCACGGCGCTGCGAACGAGCAAGGGCAACGTCTTCGCCAAGGACTTCTGGCTGAACGTGAAGCCCTCCACACTGGCCGAGCGCGGCACGCCCACCACCGCCTGGTCGGA